TTCAAGAACAAGCAGGAAATAGAACACGAGCATGTGAAAACCTGCCTCTCCCCACCAACATCTCCTCTCTTTCTCTTTGGGGCTACATGAATGGCTGGAAGGGTATCTCTTCCTCAACCAAGACACAACCACAAATTCAGCATTTAACTGAATTTTCATAGACTACTATAAAATTTCTGGCAGAAGCTCTATAGCTAACAGCTAAGAAGGGGGCAGAAAGGTCCAGTTTAGAAAAAGGACATTTGTACAAAAGTAATGATTCTTCAAAGTTACAGCTATTTTTCTGCTCTTTTCAAAGTTGAGACTTGGGATGCAGTAATCACCACCCCTTACAATCAGGAGATGAGCAGAAGGTTGGGGGTCAGTTTAATATCAAATTAATACCAGTTATGTGCAGGGGAAAAAAAGAAGGGGAAACCCTTTGCTTTTTCAAAGAAGGTCATTAAAGTCCTCTGATACAGTACATGTTTTTCAAGCATCCTCATGCCCTGGTGTCTCCCTACTTAGAATCATGCCATACAAAGCTGGGAGGAAAAGTGTTGCATGTAGAATTTGTACAGGAGGCTGCACAAACATAGTGTAGTGTCCACTGGCAGTGGAGAGGCAAATGGCTTATAGTCTTGATTAGAAACTTGTCCCTTCTTGCAATCACAGTCAGAAGAAACCAGTTGTAAAAGCCCCTCCAAACCATTTTGTCAATCCTTTTCTCAAAGTCCTTCAAATGTTGAGTAATCATAATGTCCATAAACTGTGGTCTGGCTAAGAGTTATGAATATTAACACAAAACAAAAGAGCAATAAGTTCAATTTAACTGGGCAGACACAATCACAAACCAAAAGGTATGGTATCTGCAGAGGTGTCCTGCCCTAGCTCCTACAATGAATCATTACCTAACTGAAAGTCCAATGTCCCTTGGGAGGGGAACAAAACTGTGTGTATTGATATGAGTGGCAATGTTGCCTCTTGTGTTTTTACAGCAACTGTGTGGGGTATGATGCTATGTTTGGGATCAGGCAGGGGTCACCCTGTGACTGCCATCTGTTCCAAAATGTAGACACACATTGCATCCTTGATTTCCCTGGCCTCCTGTGATCCAAGACCTGTTTAACAAACAGCCTGATTGAGTGAATTTTTAATGTTTTGCAAGCTGGTCCACTCATGTGCCATTCTACCCTAAAGCACTCACCATTAGTCTCTCAAATGTTATGAAGAGCAGAGCATGCCACAATAATGAGGTTGGTATTGATCATGCTAGCATCCTTCTCATTGTGTAGGCATCATAAAGGGGCCATTTCATGTTCAAAGGCTCATTCCACTACTATCCTACAGGTGCTTAGTTTTGAAGCTGAGTTCCTGTTGTTGATTTTGGTTAGGGTTTCATTAGCCCAGGCAGATGTAAGTATGCGGGATCACTCAAATAACCAATGGCATGGAAATATCCTACAGAACCATGGTGCTTCCAAGGAACAAAATCCCTTCCTGCCCCTTCAAGTATAATCCTGATCTCAGCAATCAGCACCCTGATATAATGAAACTGTTTCATGTCTCTGACATTAGTGTTCATGAGTCTGTCTTTCTGCTTTTAAACCTTGAAGAATGAATGACTCAGGAGTTTTCTACACTACCGAGTTTTGTTGCCAAAAATGGTCTTTTTACAGCAAAGCAACTTTTGTCAGGAAAAATCTCCAGTTTAGGTGACAATAAAACTTCCATGCCCACAAGAGACTTTATTCTTTTCTCCTTCCTTTATTGTTGACAAACAGCCAGTTGTAAACCCCATGCCTCCTTTAATCACTTTTATTGTCCTCCAGAAAATATCCTACAAAGCCCATCCTGACTGCTCTGGTCATCAGTTTGAACTCCACTGCTCTTTGCAAGCCGTGGGAAGATGGAAGCCCATGGAGGGCTAACACAGAAAGCAGTGCATGATGGGACATTTAGCACAGTCCCAGAATGTGCTGAACTCTGCCTTCTACAACACCTAACAATAGAAGGTACCACCCTGCACTATGGTACATATACCTACTATGCATTGTTTATGCTGTTGATGATGGTGCCCCAATGTGGACATGATCCTTTGACGGAGGGAGCAAGTGTAAGCAACCTTTATCAATTTTTATTTTATTGATTGCTTGTTTTCAACATAAATTTTGTCAACAAAACACTGTACTGCAGACAGGGCCTATCTTGCACTCTCTTTTCACTAGGACCAGTATTGGGATGGGGTGCCATTGATGGTCCACACTTAATTCAGAGACACTGTTCTCTGGAACCCAGCTATAATTTCTAGCACTTTGGTGATGGCGACCACTCTTGGGTAGATAAGAGTGTTGATAGCTTCACAAATCAACACTACCACTATTTTGTCAGTGAACTTTCCCATCCCAAATTGGCTTGCAATGTTCTAGTGTTGTCCACTTCCCCAGTAATACCTACTTCTGCCCCAGCATGCATCTGTGCATATAATTGTTCTGCAGTTATAGGATTGGGACCAGCTCTTCACATAGCTCCACGAATGTATGCTTCCTAATTCTGAAGTCCAGTCACTATCTGTCATCATCCCAATTTTCCAGAATGATATAATCCCACCACACCAGGCTCATTCTGTTGGTCCAGAAGTGGCAGTCCAGCCATAAACATGAAGTTGCAGAGCCAGCAGTCTCCTGAATCTCTGTATCATGAAGTGAGAGTGGCTCAGTTAGCATTTCTCTCCCCCATCTTTGGCTTGTGAAAAAGGCCCAAGACAATTCACCCAAAATTTTCATTAGCCATATTCTGAAATGTGTGTGTGTGCACAAACACACACACACACACACACACCTCTTGTTCCCTGAGAAGGAGATCCACAGCATCAGTCACTCAGTCATGTCTTCCACCATGTTGGGCAGGAGAGAGGTATGAGCAGGAAATGCCATTGACAAACACGTGAGGGTGTATATAGTACCACCAATATGCACTAGTACAGACATGAGCATATACATGGCTCAGTACCGAAATATGCCACTGTAGCTTCACATGACAGGATGGAATAAAACTGCTATTTTGAATCTGATATATTTGAAAGATCCCACTTGTGATTTTCCTGTTTTAGGTTACTGGATGGTTTTGAAGACATGAGCACAAGTGTTTGGTATCAGCTGATTTATTTTTATTTTTATTTTTTTGTCATCACAACACTAACAAGGCCAAATGTATTCAGTGACAGATTTTAAGAAGGGATTCTTCTCTCAAAAATATAACAGGAATTTTAGAAGTAGGTAATTGCAACTCAAGTGGCTACTACAAATGGGTCAGACTGCCCTTTCCATTAGGAAGACAAAGAGAAGCAGGATAAAGGTGACATTTTTAAAGTTCTGTCATTGAGAGGACTGAAGGCCTGGTGCTACAAAGGGATTTTGTGATGCATTGCAATACACAGACCCACCAATAGGGGAGGAGGCACAGCAGACAACTCCTGGAACCCCAGCCTTTTAAGTTGCTGATGGAGCACTGCACAGTGCGCTCTGAGCAGCTCTGAGGACTAGGGGGAGAGTTGGGGGGAGCAGCATGGTGCGCTCCAGGTGGTACCGAGGGCTGGCTACACCTGACTCTGCCCATTCCACCTGAGGCCATGCCCCTTCTGGAATAGTAGCCAGCCTCCCACACCCTGCCAGGGGCCCAATTTTAGGCACGTGCAAAATCACTGGAAGAGCCTACCTACAATTCCTGCAGGTGACAGCAGTCACTGGGAAGCCAGTTCCATCTTGCTGGAGACTCCAAGACCTCTTGTTGGTTTCGTAGGCTGGTGCTAGTCAGCACAACCTGAAAGGGTGAGTCCATTAAAACATGTGGCCACGATTTCTACAACTAGCAGTTTGTAGGATTATAATGCAATCTCAGACACATTATCCCATGATATTTCCTTGAATTCACATCTCATTTTTATTGTATTTCCTTGTCAACATAAATTGTTCTTTTCATCTTTTTTCTCTGTAGTAAACACTAGAACTAGCCAAAAATCAGATTACATGACTTTTGTTTTAGATAAATTGACATATAATTGCAGAGTTAGAATTGTGATTCTGCGAACAGCTTTCATATAAAGCTAGGTTAGGTTTTTCATGTGTGTTGGAGGGAAACAACTCTGAAAAAAGTGACAACACCTCTGCCACTTCAGGCAAGAGTCTCTCTCTCTCTCACACACACATACACACACACACACACACACACACTCACATAGCCAAGACACATAATCATACCTTTCTCAGAAGGAATATATTAAAAAATATTTTGCACATTCAGTTGATTCCTTGAGCATAAGTCCCAGCCCTGGTGGGAAGACAGCTGTCAAGAAACAGCGAGAAGACTTATGCATGTTATAATTTGGAATATTTTATGTACATATCTTATAATAATTGGGAAATACGACTATGCCTCAAAATTTATATTGCCACATTTTAAATCTAAAGTTCATATATTGCAGGCAAATTGTTTATTCGGTGATTCATTATATTGCCCAGCAGGCAGTGAAATCAGCAAGAGCATGGGCTTGTTGGCTCTCTCCATATGCTTATTTGCTAGCACATATAGAAAAAGTATCAGACACATATCTTGAAAATGCTGACTAAAGCAAATGCACAGGAGCTAGAAAGGAGAGAGTGGAGGGTGGGAAGACTCTGAAATGCAGGTAGTGAACTTTTTGTTTTTGTTTTTTGTGAGCGAGTACTCCTGTGGCACCTTAGAGACTAACAAAGACATATAGTATCATGAGCTTTTGGGGGTAAAACCCACCAACTCATCTGTTGAAGTGTGTTTAACCAAGGAAAGCTCAGGTTGCTCTATATTTTTGTTAGTCTCTAAGGGTATGTCTAGACTACATGGCTCCATTGACGGAGCTATGTAAACTAGTTTACCCGTCATAGGCAAAGAAGCGGGGATTTTAATAATCCCCGCTTCATTAAAATAAACATGGCCACTGTGCTGTGCCAAGGATCAGCTGATCTGGCATAGGGCGGTAGTCTAGACGCGGATCGGTCAGCTGGGGAAGCCTTTGCCGACTGATCCTGTAAGCCTCGTGAAACGAGGCATAAGGAATAGGTCAGCAAAGGCTTTCCCAGCTGACTGATCCGCGTCTAGACTACCACACTGTGCCGGATCAGCTGATCAGCTGATCATCGGCACAGCGTGGCGGCCATGCATATTTTAATGAAGCAGGGTTTATTTAAATCCCCGCTTCTTTGCCTATGCTGGGTAAACTAGTTTACATGGCTCCGTCAATGGAGCCATGTAGTCTAGACATACCCTAACATGCCACAGGACTACTCATTGTTTTTAAAGTTACAGACTAACACAGCTACCCTCTGAGACTTTATTTTTGTGGTAATGGAGAGAAATAAGTGTATGGAAAAAGACAAGGGACCAGATCCTTTGGTAAGCTCCCTTTGGCTATGTCTACACAGCGACGTTATTTCAAAATAACTAGCGTTATTCCAAAATAACATAGTCCTTGCCTACACAGCCAGCAATTATTTTGACACAATGTCAAAATACTGTCAAGCTGGAGGACTTCTTATTCCATCACCTGTAACCCTCATTTTATGAGGAGTAAGGGAAGTAGGAGGAAGTGTGCGCTATTTCGAAATAAGTGTTGTGTAAACAGCACCAAAACTCGAAATAAGCCATTTTGAAATAAGCTAAGCAATTGACATAGCTCAATTTGCATAGCTTATTTCTTGTTAAACCCTACTATGTAGATGCACCCTTTGAGGCCCCAAGTGCAAATAGACCTGAAACTATTACTAAAGGGCTGATGAAGATTCATGTGAAGATGTGAAGGAATCACCATTATCTGTCCTATACCTTTTCCCCCATCTAATCAATGCAGGAAAAGTGTAAAACTAGCTGAAGGCAGGATGGGCATGTTCTAAGATACTGCAAGGGCTAGAGCACGATGCATCCTGCTGATACATTTTTTCTTTTTCCTGGGCATCCCCAGTCTCAGATCATGGCACCATTATGCCAGGCAATATATTGACACCCAACAAAATGCCCTTGCCCTGAAGAGTTTATAATCTAGTAGTTAGCGACAAAAAATTCCCTGGAGCCAATTTTTCCCAGTGTAAGTTAGAGCAGCTGGCATCTTTTTAACCCCCCTGGCAAGTCCAGCATTGGTGGAAATCTCTATTCTGATTCTTCCTTCAATTCCATAGGGTTATGTCTAGACTACATCCCTTTTTCATAAAAGGGATGTAAATTAGACGTATCTCAATTGCTAACGAAGCGGGGATTTAAAACCGCCTGCCGCTTTTTTTCCGCATGGAGCTTTGCTGGAAAAAAGCGCCAGTCTAGATGCTGATCTTGTGGAAAATAAAGCGGAAATATTTCATAGAGGGATAAGGGATCTTTTGGAAAAGGCTTTATTTTCCACAAGATCAGCGTCTAAACTGGCGCTTTTTTCCGGCAAAGCTCCATGCGGAAAAAAAGTGGCAGCCATTTTTATGCTAATGAAGCGGGGGAGATTTAAATCCCTGCTTCATTAGCAATTGCGATACGTCTAATTTACATCCCTTTTACGAAAAAGGGATGTAGTCTAGACATAGCCCATATGTTTGTGTTGGGATGTCCATCCAAACAAGGCAGTGCCTCTTAATTAACCTGATAAGCTACAACTGAGGGAGAGTGTTGATGGAAGATGGAGCTTAGCTAAGAAGGAATAAAAAGGGCTGAGGTATAGCCAGAAAACTGGCAGCAGAAAAGGATTGCATGGGTAGTAGGCTACAGTTGCTTCCTAGGAGGGTCTTTGGGCTGATAATGTCATATATGGGAGAGGCCAGAAGACAAGAGCAAAGAAGTAGAAAGGAATCAAGGGCAACAGCAAAGAGGCTCCCCAATAGCGAAGGTGACCAGTGACAAGGTTCTTATATCATGCTTATCATAGCTGAGTGCCTTCTAGCAAGGGGTTAAGCAATATGACTAACATCTGCTGTATGTTGTCATATGTTGTTCTCACATCTCTCATCTCTCATCTCCTCTCTGGGAAGGGAAGCAGGAGCAGTGGCATGTTTTGGTTTGGTAAGGCTTTGTATATATATACATGTGCATATTTATGCTAGAGTAGGCAAGATCACAGAAATGTACCTTACACTTGCTGATGAAAAAAGGGCTGTGATGATCCTTAATTCCTGTGGAAGGTTATTTTACAGTCTTGCACAGGCCCCCAAGAAACTTTATCCTTCTTGAAGAAGATTTTGATTGTGCCAGAGTACCGTAATTGTCAACCCTGGTCTTTCATCCACAGTTTTAGATTGCCTTTTAGGTAATCTGGGCCTAGGTAATGAAGCACCTTAAAGATAAAAATCAAAATCTTGAACTTGAATCAGAATCCCTTAGGAAGCCAGTATCCCGTACAGAACACAGGCCTGGGATGGTCATACTAGTTGGAATATTATATCTTAGGATAACAGATGTCATATATATTTAGGATATATAGATGAAACATACTTGCTGGGGTTTCTGACACTTTTTGATGTGCCAGTGTTGTTCTACAACTTTCTTCCAACCAATAGTCCTCTTGAGAGATGAAGGCCATTTGACTGTAATGTCATCCAGCAGTTGCCTCTTGTTAATTATCTATTTGTGTGCAAAGGGAACTAGAAACCTCCAAAATGTTGTGGCAGGAGTGTAGGAGGATGGGAAAGTGGCTGGCTCCTGTAAGTTCTTCCAGCATAATTTTCTTTCCCATGAGGAATGGAATGTTTTGATGCTGAGGACACACATACCTAAAGATTAGCCCTGATTTGAATCAACAGTTGTATGTTTTAATCGCCATAACAAAATTACAGAAATTTGCACATCTCTTTCCTAAATGCGTTGTCATTTTTGAAGTGTTTTGTAGAGCTGGCAGAAACTTTTCACAATTTTTTTTTGTTTAGAAAATTCCAGTTCATTAACCCAAAACTTTTTTGCAGGAATGTACCAGGTTCAACAAAAGTTTAGTTAGGAAAAGTTTCTCGAGTCTCAAGATGGAATTTCTGATCAAATCCAGAGGATGTTTCCCCAGAATCTCCAATATCCTGGATATTGGATTGCCAATATAAGGCACTCCCTTCCAATGTGGGACATGGGAATCAAGTTCCTGATCCAAGCCAACCCCAGCAGAGACTTGAACAAAGATTTCCCACATCACAGGTGACACACACACTCTTCGTCAAGTTATTTTTTGTCAAAAGCTTCAAAGGGTCTTGGTTTTATCCCAAAATGGAACAGGAAACATTTCCAAAATTTCAAAAGTGAGGAAAACCATTTCCTGCCCAAATCTGGGACTTTGTCAAGACTAAGCTATTGTGTTGAATGATTCCTCAGTAAGGAGCAACATTCACTTCAAAGAGGCTATTTTGATGTAAGCTACTATTCATTGAGTTAGGGGGTCACAATTTGGCTCTAGCTGAAAAACCCAATAGGACCCAGGAGATCAGGTCTTATTGGCCTGATCTCTAGTTATTCCCACCCTTAGCTTTACCTTTGTTTGAAATAAATCCCATTGCCTGAGTATCCTAATGAAATTTCAGTTTTAGTCATTTCCTGCGTGAATTAGTTACTAAGTTGTTGCTAGGCAGGCACTGAATAATTTATACATGGAATACTGAAAAGGCATTTCACCTGTCATGATTCTAGTTTCATTTAAATCATATATCTAGAGTTGCCTGTTTCTATATTCAGCTGGACAAGAGCAATCAGATATACTTTTCTCATAAAATATTTGCAATAGTTAGCTTCATTGACTACACTGGTCCCCTTTTCCTGGAACTATATTGCTCTAAAAC